TGCTGCCTGCAAGAGACACATCTCAATAGTCAAAGCAAACACAGACTCAGAGTCAAAGGCTGGAAAACAATCCTACAGGAAAACAACTCTCATAATAAAGCTGGGGTAGCCATCCTAGTGTCAGACAATATTGATTTCAGACTGAGGAAGGTCACAAGAGACTGTGGAGGCCAATTCTCATTGATCAAGGGATCTATAAAACAGGAAATACTTACAATACTAAATGTATATGAACCTAATAAGGGACAAACAAAGTACTTAAAACAACAACTTGGAGAAAGAGGGTGATAGCAACGAAATACAGGAGACTTCAATACCGCTTTATCACCTCTTGATAGATCAACCAGACTCAAGCTTAGCAAGGACATACTTCATCTGAGGAAAAAAAATGGAAGAAAGGGACTTAGTAGATATATACAGGACACTTCACCCTCAAAAGGCTGAACTTCTTCTCAATTGTGCATAGAACATTCTCCAAGATAGACCACATGCTCAACCACAAAACATACCTCCATAAAATTAAGAGGATAGAGACTGTATCAACAATCTTCTCAGACCATAATGCGCTGAAATTAGAAGTAAATCACACACAAACAGAAAGTCAAATCAAACACCTGGAAATTAAACAGATCACTTTTGGACAATGAGTGGCTTAGAAGAAAATCAAAAGATTCCTGGAAATGAATGAAAATGAGGACACGAGTTACCAAAACTTATGGGACACAGCAAAAGCTTTGTGAAGAGTAAAGTTTGTGGCTCTACAAGCAATCCTCAGGAAGGAGGAGTGAGCCCACATAAGTAACTTAACTCACAGTTTAAGAGCTCTGAGAATGACCAAAAAAAGACCCCAATCAGAATAGGAAGAAGCACTATCCTCCCATTGTTCATCAATTTGCTCAAGCGGACACCAGTAACATCTTACAACAAATTGTGAGGCTTGTTACTGTTTTTGGCATATTGAATATGTCACAGGGAGCTTGCCAGGCTTCGCCGTGGGGGCGAGATACTCTCAGTCGCTTGCTGGGCTCTTCAAGAGGGGCGGAGGAATCGAACCCAGGTCGGCCATGTCGGCCACGTGCAAGGCAAATGCCTTGCCCGCTGTGCTATTGCTCCAGCTTAGAATAGGAGGAAGGAAATAATAAAACTCAGAGCAGAGATTAACGAGATGGAAACCCAAAAACCAATCCGAAAGATCAATGAAACCAAGAGCTGGTTCTTCGAGAAAATAAACAAAATCGATAAGCCTCCAGCAAAGCTCAAAAAAGAAACAGAGAGAGAAAACCCAAATAAACCGAATCAGACATGAAAAGGAAGTCATTACAACAGAAACTACAGAAATTCAAAGGATCCTCAGGGAGTACTTTGAGAAGCTTTATACCACAGAACACGAAAACCTCGAAGAAATGAATAAATTCCTAGATTCCTGTAGCCTCCTAAGGCTGAACCAAGAAGACCTGAAATACCTGAACAGACGAATCACCATCAAGGAAATTGAAACGGTAATAAAAATTCTCCCCAAGTACCTTCATGATTGGCCCAGATGGATTCACTAGTGAATTCCTCTAAATTTTTAAAGAGGACTTATTGCCAACCCTCTTTAAGCTTTTCCACGAAATTTAAATATCAAAAACACTTCCAAACAGTATTTATGAAGCAAATATCACCCTGATACCAAAATCAGACAGAGATACCACAAAGAAAGATAATTACAGGCCAATATCCCTGATGAACACAGACGCAAAGATCCTCAACAAACTATTAGCAAATAGAATCCAAAACTCATCAAAAACATGATACACCATGACCAAGTGGGATTCATCTCGGGGATGCAAGGATGGTTTAACATTCGGAAATCAATCAACACAATATATCATATCAACAAAAGAAAAGATAAAAAACCATATGATCATGCCAGTAGATGCAGAGAAAGCATTTGACAAGATCTAGCACCCATTTATGATAAAAAAAAAAAAAAACCTTGCCAAAATGGGTATAGAGGGGACTTTCCTCAATATACTTAAAGCCATCTACCACAAGCCTACAGCAAGCATCATCCTCAATGGGGAAAGGGAACTGAGAGTCCACCCTCTAAGATCAGAGACAAGACAAGGATGCCCACACTCTCCACTGCTGTTAAATATAGTACTGGAAGTACTTGCTTGCATTAGTGGTAAGGCAAGGAAAAGATATTAATGGCATTCAAGTAGGAAACGAAGAAATCAAGCTCTCTCTCTATTTGCAGATGATATAATACTATACTTAGAGAACCCTAAAACCTCTATCAAGAAACTCCTAGAAACAATAGGCTTGTATAGTAAAGTTGCGGGCTATAAAATCAATACCCAAAAGTCCATGGCTTTCCTATACACAAATAGTGAGAGAGAAGAAAGTTACATGAAAAAAAATCCTGTTCACAATTGTGCCCCAGAAAATCAAGTACCTAAGAATCAGCTTAACTAAGGAAGTAAAAGACCTATACAAAGAAAACTACAAAACGCTATGTCAGAAAATAAAAGAGGACACGAGAAAATGGAAAGTTATCCCCTGCTCATGAACCGGGAGAATTAACATTGTCAAAATTGCAATACTTTACAAAGCACTGTACAAATTCAAGGTGATCCCTATAACGATGCCCATGACATTCTTCAAAGAAACAGAGCAAACATTACTGAAATTCATATGGAACAATAAGCCCCCACGAATAGCTAAAGAAATTTTTGGGGAAAAGAAAATGGGAGGAATCAACCTCCCTAACTTCAAACTCTACTACAAAATTAAATAGCATTGAAGTTACTAACTCTACTAACTTCAAACTCGATTAAAAAATTAAAAAAGCATGGTACTGGAACAAAGGCAGAGCTGCAGACCAATGGAACAGGATTGAATATACAGATATCTCCCGCCAAACATCTGATCATCTAATTTTTGACAAGGGAGCAAGAAATGTGAAGTGGAGCAAAGAAAGCCTCTTTAACAAATTGTGTTGGGAAAAACTGGAGAGCTACATGCAAAAAAAATGGGCTCAGATCTCTGCCTAATACCATGTACAAAAGTAAGATCAAAATGGATTAAAGACCTCAACATCAGACCAGAATCCATAAAGTACCTTGAAGACAAAGTTGGCAAAACCCTCCATGATATTGAAGCTAATGGTATCTTCACAGATGTCATGCCACTGGCCAAGCATGTGAAAACAGAGATAGACAAATGGGACTATCTTAAACTAAGAAGCTACTGCACCTCAAAAGAAACAGTGACCAAAATACAAAGACAGTCTACGGAATGGGAAAGGATATTCTCTCAATAAACATCTGACAGGGGGTTGATATCAAGGATATACAAAGTACTGGTTGAACTCCACAAGAAGAAAACATCCACCCCATCCAAAAATGGGGCAATGAAATGAACAGAAACTTTCTCAAAGAAGAAATCTGAATGGCAAGAAGGCACATGGGAAAATGCTCTACATCATGAATCATCAGGTAGATGCAGATCAAAACAACAATGAGATATCATCTCACACCACAGAGACTGGCCCACATCCAAAAGAACAAAAGCAACTGGTGCTGGCGTGGCAAGAAAGGAACCCTCCTTCACTGCTGGTGGGTATGCCGAAAGGTTCAATCCTTTTGGAAACCGTATGGACGATTCTCAAAAAATTAGAAATTGAGCTCCCATTTGACCCAGCAATACCACTCTTGGGAATATATCCCAGAGGGTCAGAAAAGTATAGTCGAAGTGACATCTGCACTTGATTGTTCATTGCAGCACTGTTTACAATAGCCAGAATCTGGAAAAAAACTGAGTGCCCGAGAACAGATGACTGGTTAAAGAAACTGGTCAATCTACACAATGGAGTACTATGTAGCTGTTAGAAAAGATGAAGTCATGAAATTTACATGCAAGTGGTACTACATGGAAATTATCATGCTAAGCAAAATGAGTTAGAAGGAGAGGGAAGACATAGATTACATTCATCTGGGGAACATAAAGTAACAAAATAGGAGACTAACACCCAAGAATAACTGAGATAAGTACCAGGAGATTCACTCCATGACTTGGAGGCCAGCTGCACATATTAGGGGGAAAGGCAGCTCAGATAGAGAAGGGAGCACCAAATAAAGGGTGTTGGGAGGATCCTCCCAGGATGGGAAATGCATTCTGAAAGTAGACTATAGACCGTACATGATTGCCACTCAATGCCTCTTTTGCAAACCACAGCATCCAAAAGGTGAGAGAGAACAAAAGGGAATGCCCTGTCACAGAGGCAGGGTGGGTTGTAGGGGAAGGGGTGTGCGAGGGATACTGGGATCAGTGGTGGTGTAAAATGGGCACTGGTGGAGGGATGGGAACTCGAAGATTGCATAATTGAAAACAGAGCACAAAAATTTGTAAATCTACAACTGTACCTCATGGTGTTTCACTAATAAAAATTTTTTAAAATTCCAAATGGAATCAGACTATCGTATTCTTTGTGCAAAATTCTACTTAACAGAGCAGGGGAAAGGGGCTGCAAATTTTAAGAAGAGACAACAACTAACTGGGAACTCTTTGACACTATTGCGTCAACATGGGAAGATGCCGTCATTGACAACATTGACGAGGAATATGATTGACTGGTTCAGCACCTCCATGATTGTGCAAGGAACACTGAGAGATAGCCACAAAAAGACTCCTATCTTCGATAACTCTTGAGCTCATCACCAATGTAGCTTGGCGTTAGCCTCAGGAAACTGCAAGCAAACATCCGAGCTCCCAAAGCAGTGCAGAGAAGCGATAAAGGAAGACCTCAAAGAGAAAAGAGCAGAAGTGCTGGCAGATGTGGCAAAAGCTGGGAAAAGAATTCACAAACCCGCCTGTCTTTCACTAACTACAAGACCAAGATGACTACCCTCCGACATCCTGATGGATATATCACATCTTCCAGAAAGGCAATGAAGAAGATTATCCATGACTTCAACTCGGATCTCCTCGATAGCCATGTCCACCTGCCCACATACCAATTTCCGCAGGATTGATATTTCGTTCCCAACATCCTCCCTTCCGAAACGTCATTTCGTCAATAAAGAAGCAAACAGCACACGGCCCTGACAAGATCAGACCTGAACACCTGAAGAACCTGCCATCAGTATTCATTAATACACTGTCTCAGCTCTTCACACACACTATCTATCTGAATGCAAGGTTCTGGTCCAGATGGAAAACCAGCAGGACTGTACTACTGTAAAGAAGGGAGACATCCACGAAATTGGTAACTATCACCCCATCTGCCTGTTGTCTGTCTTCTACAAGCTGTTGACTCACTCGAGTCATCCTGAATAGGATTGGCAGAATACTAGATGAAGGACAACCATGCAATCAGGCTGGTTTCCAAAAAGAATTCAGCACAATCGACCATATCCACACAATATTCATGCTCATTGAGGTTTCTTGGGGGTTCAAGATGCCGCTCTGTCTAACGTTCATTGATTTAAAGAAGGCCTTTGATTCTGTTGAGACTGAAATGGTCATTTTGCCCTAGCCAAACAGGGTGTTCAAATTCAATACTTCAGGATCCACCGTGAGCTGTATTGGGGATTCACTACCAGGATCTCACTGTTCTACAGGGAGGTGATCATTGATGTCAAGAGAGGGGTTCGGCAGGGTGATACCATTTCACCAAAACTCTTCAATGCCACCCTCGAACATCATGCAACAACTGGTATGGGAGTGAAGATAGGATGGTTGGCAACTACACCACCTCCGCTTCGCTGATGACATCATTCTAATAACAACAAACATCAGCCAAGAGCCACAAATGCTGGCCAACTTCGACCATTTGTGTGGAAAGGTCGGACTACAGCTGAATCTCAAGAAGACAATGTTTATGAGAAACAGTCTCGTTTCTAACGTTCCATTCACTCTCAAAAGTACGAACATCTCCGAATGCAACAGTCATGTGTACCTAGGTCGAGAAGTCAACATGAACAATGACCTGGCACTTGAGTTGTGCAGGAGGAAGAGAGCGGCTTGGAATGCCTTCAAGAACTTTGAAGAAATAGCTAAAAGGACGAATAACCTCCGGTTCTGCGCACATCTCTTTGATTTCACTGTTCTTCCTGCATTAACATATGCCTTAGAGACCTGCACCCTACGAAAACAGGATGAGAATGCTATTCGTGTCTTCCAAAGAGGAATCGAAAAAGGTGTGCTTGGAGTATCATGCTTCACTCAAACAAGAGAAAGAATCCAGAGTTCTGATCTCCATCAACGATCAAGAATCAGGGACGTGTCTCATTTGCCAAGGCATCAAAAATCAAATGGGCTGGACACATAATGAGATTTGGAGATGACCACTGGACTAGAGCCATTACCAACTGAATTCCACAGGATGTTAAAAGATCCCGGGGCCACCCAACTATGGGATGGTCAGACTTTTTTGTCAAGTCCCTTAGGTTTGAGGCTGTTTGTTTTCCTAGAATGAGCAGATGCCATTGGGCATCACTAGCGTGTGACAGGGACGAATGGAGACATTACTGGTGTCCGCTCGAGCAAATCAATGAGTAACAGAATGTCAAGTGATCAAGTGACAGACCAATATCCCTGATAAATACAGATGCAAAGATTCTCAACAAAATACAAGCAAATAAAATCCAACAACTCATCAAAAAGATCATACATCATTACCAAGTAAGATTCATTCCCAGTATGCAAGGATGATTTTAACATTCACAAATAAATCAACATAATACACCGAATCAATAAAAGGAAAGACAAAAAACATATGATCATATCAATAAATGCAGAGAAGTCATTTGACAAGGTCCAGCACACATTTATGATGAAAACTCTCAGCAAAATGGGAGTCGAAGAAACTTTTCTCAGTATAGTCAAAGTAATCTACCACAAGCCCACAGCAAGCATTATTCTCAATGGGGAAAAGCTGAGAGCCTTCCGTCTAAGATCGGCTACAAGACAAGGTTGCCAACTCTCACTACTTCTATTCAATGTAATATTAGAAGTACTTGTCATAACTCTTAGTCAAGAAAAGAATATCAAAGGCATCCAGATAGGGAAGGAAGTAGTCAAGCTATCACTATTCGTAGATGACATGATACTATACTTAGAGAACCCTAAAGGCTCTACAGAAAAGTCCTAGAAATAATGGGATTGTATAGCAGAGTGGCAGGTTACAAATTCAGTACCCAAGAGTCCATTACCATGCTATATACAAATAATGAAAAAGAAGAAAGAGATATTTAAAAACAATCCCATTCACAACTGTGCCCCAGAAACTTAAGTACCTTAGAATCAGCTTAACTAAAGAGGTAAAGTATCTATGCAAAGAAAAATACAAAACATTACTTCAAGAAACAAAAGAGGACACTAGGAAATCAAGGCACATCCCCTGCTCATGGATTGGGAGGATTAGCATTGTCAAAATGGTAATACTCCCCAAAGCATTATACAGATTCAATGCTGTCCCTATAAGGATACTTACTACATTTTTCAAAGAAATAGACAAAACACTCCTGAAATTCATATGGAGTAATAAGCCCCTACAAATAGCCAAAGCAATCGTTGGGAAAAAGAAGATGAGTGACATCACCTTCCCCAGTCTCAAGCTGTACTACAAAGTGGTAGTAATTAAAACATCATGGTACTGGAACATAAACAGACCTGCAAACCAATGGAACAGAGTTGAATATTCCGACACAGCCTCTCAAGTATAAGATCACTTAATCTTTGACAAAGGGGCAAGAAATGTGAAGTGGAGCAAGGAAAGCCTCTTCAACAAGTGGTATTCGGAAACTGGACAGCTACATGGAAAGAATGAACTCAGGCCTCTGTATAATGTCAAGCACAAAAGTCAGATCAAAATGGAATAAAAACTTCATTTTCAGACCTGAATCCATAGGCACATGGAAGAAAATGTAGGCAGACCATGACATTGAAGCTAAAGGCATCTTTAAGGATGAAACACCACTGACTAAGCAAGTGGAAACATATATATATAAACAAATGGGACTACAGTATACTAAGAAGCTTCTGTACCTCAGAAGAAACAGTGACTAAAATACAGAAAGAGCCCACGGAATGGGAAAAAATATTTACCCAATACCCATAAATAGGGGCTTAATATTCAGGATATACAGGACACTGGTAGAACTTTGTAGCACTGTAGCACTGTCCTCCCATTGTTTATTGATTTGCTTGAGTGGGCACCAGTAACGTCTCCATTGGGAGACTTGTTGTTACTGTTTTTGGCATATCGAATACGTCACAGATAGCTTGCCTGGCTTTGCCATGTGGGTAGAATGCTCTCAGTAGCTTGCTGCGATCTCCAAGAGGGGCGGAGGAATCAAACCTGGGTCAGCCGCTTACAAGGCAAATGCCCTACCTGCTATGCTATCGCTCCAGCCCAACTTTACAAGAAACAGACCTCCAACCCCATCAAAAAATGGGGAGAAGAAATGAACAGAAACTTTCACAAAAATAAATTCAAATGGCTACGAAAATGCTCTACATTGCTAATCATCAGGAAGATGCAAATCAAATCAACAACGAGATACTATCTCATACCACAGAGACTGGCATACATTCAAAAGAACAAGAACAACCAGTACTGGTGCGAATTCAGGGTCAAAAGGACTCTCATTCATTGTTGGTGGGAATGCCGATTGGTCCAGCCTTTTTGGAAAACAATATGGACGTTCCTCTAAAAACTAGGAATTGAGCTTCCATAAAGTAAGTAAGTAAAGACCCTCCCGTTGTTCATCGATTTGCTCGATCAGGCCCAGTAACGTCTCCATTGGAGATTTTGTTGTTACTGTGTTTGGCATATCGAATACATCACAGGTGGCTTGCCAGGCTCTGCTGTGCGGGCCAGATACTTTCGGTAGCTTGCCGGGCTTATATCCCAGAGATGCAAAAAAATACAGTAGAAATGATATCTGCACTTGTATGTCTATTGCAGTACAGTTTACAATAACCAAAATCTGGAAAAAAAACTCAAGTGCCAGAGAATAGATGACTGGTTGACGAAATATTTCTACACAATGGAATACTATGCAGCTATTGAAGGAGATGAAGTCTTGAAATTCACATATAAGTGGATGAACATGGAGAGCATCATACTAAGTGAAATTAGTCAGAAAGAGAAGGACAGACATAGAACGACTACTCATTTGTGGAATGTAAAGTAGCATAATATGAGACTAGCACCTATGGACAGTAGAAATAAGGGCCAGGAGGATCACACCATGGTTTGGAAGTCTGCCCCACGTGCTGGGGGAAAAGGCAGTTGTGACAGAGAAGGAACTACTAGTAAATGATGATTGGAGGGATAGCCCAGGATGGGAGATGTGTGCTGAAAGTAGACCAAGAACCAGACACAATAATCTCTTAGTATCTGTATTGCAAATCATAATACCCAAAATTAGAGAGAGAGAGAGAGAATAAGAAGGATTTTACCTGCCACAGAGGCAGGGGATGGGGTAGGGTGGGGGTGGCTGGTGGGACACTGGGAACAATGGTCGTAGAAAATGTGCACTGGTGGAGGGATGGGTGCTCGAGCTTTGTTTGACTGAAATGCAATCATGCAAGTTTGTAACTGTATCTCATGGTCACTGTCACTGTCACTGTCCTCCCGTTGTTCATCAGTTTGCTCGAGCGGGCCAGTAACGTCACCATCGTGAAACTTTGTTGTTACTGTGTTTGGCATATTGAATATGTCACAGGTAGCTTGCCAGGCTTTGCTGAGCGGGGAAAATACTCTTGGTACCTTGCTGGGTTCTCCGAGAGGGGTGAAGGAATAGAACCCGGGTCGACTGGTCGTCCGCATGCAAGGCAAACACCTTACTGCTGTGTTATCTTGCATTAATATTATTTGTGAATAGAATAAATCATGGGTTAGCAGCATTTCTGTACTTGAGATGGTTCTTAGTATAAGCAAAGTTGACTAGGCAGAACAACTTGTTTGATCAAACATCAATTGGGATATTGCTGTAAAAACATTCTTTCAATGTGATAAATATGGGCTGCAGAGATAGCACAGCAGGTAGGATGTTTGCCTT